ATAGTTTATTCTTCTTGACTGTGCAGCAAAATATTACTAAATGGCACTAAATCAGAATCAGCTTTATTGGCCAGGTGCGTCTGACACAAGAATATGACTGTGGCACAGTGGGCCTAAATCTGTAGGTACAATGTTTTTCTGTAAGGAAACGAGTAGACAAGATATGACTGAGAGCACAAAAAAAGAATGTGCAAACAAGAAAAAGGAATGTGCATTAAGAAAATAAAAATAAAAGTAAAGTACTTATATACACATAAATGCTAACCATATACTGTAGATCATACACTGCAGAGGTGCCAGTTTATATCTCGTGTAGTCCAATACAGACAAATGGGTGTAGTCAAAATTTTAGAAACACCTTTCAGCATAGTGTGATACAGTTCACCAGCACTTCAGTGACCTTGAAGTTGACTCTGAACCTCTCTGACATATTGTCAACTGCCTGTAATGAGCTTCCTAAATGCAGGATTCATTACACTCTTGATGACTGAGAGTGTCTCCTGTCTGCTGCTCAATGTGGAGAGCAGTCTAATGCTGCATCTGCTTTGATGGATCTGTAGTTATGCCTCCATTCCCCAAAATGCTAATTATGTTTTCATCAGTTGAATTCAGAAGAATACATCAAATTATTTAACATGGTCCAAAGCTGTGTAATGTTAGAAGTGATTTGGGAATATTGAATGTGTGTGTATTGGTTATTAAAATTACCCAAAGGAAAATGCATCAAATGCATCAAGTGATGCTCAGACACAAAACATGATAGGTATCTCATATGCATGGACATGTCAGCAGGTACAACAATACGAGGAGTGTGTCTATTCCAAAAATATCCATCAACAGCATCCATCCTCTGAACAGGGTCAATAAACAGTAACCACTGTTGCCACAAGGTACATTTGCAGGATAATGTTGAATGTTAAAATATAGTGTAACAGTAGCAAGAACTGACTCAGTAATGTCAGGTGCACAACAATTTTTAATCTAAGTTCTAAATTTAGCCAGGGCAAGTTTATTTGTATATGCATTTACACAAATTCAAAATGCTTCATATAATGGATATATACATCCATCCATCCATCCATCCATTTTCTAAACCGCCTAGTCCCAAACGGGGTCACGGGGGGCTGGAGCCAGCTGCGGGTGAGAGGCGGGGTACACCCTGGACAGGTCGCCAGTCCATCGCAAGGCTAACACACAGACGAACAACCACTTACACACACAATCACTCCTATGGGCAATTTAGAGACACCAATCAACCTAAGCTGCATGTCTTTGGACTGTGGGAGGAAGCTGGAGTACACGGAGAGAACCCACGCAAACACGGGGAGAACATGCGCATATATACATAAAAATATAAAAATTCA